TCCGCCCCCTCCCCCCCTCCTTCCCCTCCTCCTCCTCCTCCTCCTTCTCCTCCTCCTCCTCCCCTTCCGCTCCCCCGTGGGCCCCAGCCGCCCCGGAGCGTGGGCAATCCGGTCGTGAACCTCGCGGCCGCTGCGCCCTAGGGCGGGGGCGCATTCACGGCGGCGCCGGGCCGCGAACCCCGCGACCGTGCCGCCGTGGGCTCCGGCGAAAGGGTCCGAGCGCAGGTCCTCCTATTCCTCCTCCTCCTCCTCCTCCTCCTCCTCCTCCTCCTCCTCCTCTTCCTTCTTCCTCCTCCTCCTCCTCTTCCCCCTCCTCCTTCTCCTCCTCCTCCATCCACCTCCTCTCCTTCCACCCTTCTCCTCCTCCTCCTCCCCTCCTCCCTCCTCCTCCTCCCCTCCTCTCTTCTCTCCTCCTCCTCCTCTCCTCTCCTCCTCCTCCTCCTCCTCCTCCTCCTCCTCCTCCTCCTCCCCTTCCTTCTCCTCCTCCTTCTCCTCCTCCTCCTCCTCCTCCTCCTCCTCCGCGCGCCAGCGCGAAGGCTCTCAGGAAAAACCGTCCGGACCCCAAAATTGATGTTTACTACGGCTGGATTCGATTCGACATCCTGGTCAAGAACTCACCCTGGGAGAGGTCCGGGGAGTAATTATCAGTATGGGTATTTGTTGGTTTCGCCAGAGGGTGGCAGCCCCAACGCCAGGGCGTCACCGAGGCTCGTGTCGTGTCGACGCGGCGGCGGCGACCCCAGCGCGGTCAGTCCAGGTTGAATGCCGCCTGCATCTTTCTCACGGTCGTTATTTTCTCTTGCTTTTCTTCGTCGTTGACCAAAGTTTCATTACAGTATTTCCCCTTCGCGTTTGAGATTCATCATCGTTCATTGTGCTCATACTTGGCCTCGCCCTCACCGCCTCGGTCCTGCTCGACCTTGTCCTCGTTGTTCATCTCTCTTCCTGCTGCTGCTCCCCCTTAGTTTCTGCATTCGTCATCCTTTGTCGTCATTGTCCCCGTGCTCGTACTCCTTTCTCGCCATCTTCGCTTCTCCACCTACGTGTTTTCGCCCCTACCCAGATCTACAGATTCGCCCTCCTTGCTGTTCATTTGCTGTTCAGCGTTGCCTTCTTTATCAGCACCTGCATAGCATGATTCCTCTTCGTCGCTGTCCTCCCCCCTGACCCCCTTGTGCTCGTTATGATCGTCCTCGTCCCTATCTTTCTTCTGTTAGGCGTCCACCTCTTCATCCTCGTCCTCATTTCCATCATCCTTTTCTCTTCATCCCCTACTCCTTCCCCTTCACGTTTGCACCCTTCCCGTTATCGTCCTCCCCATTCTCATCACCATCGTACACGCCCTCATCATCATCAGCAGCAGCAGAGGTATCAGCATTATCCCATCAGCCCTCTGGGCGTGAGTGGTTCAGAGAGTGTCCTCCTCCACCCCCCTTACCCCTCCTCCTCCTCCTCCCCTAATGGCCGTAAGATGACGATAGAACGAGCTTGGAGACGAGAAAGATCAGGGGTAGGAGGAGGAGGAGGCTACGGCGGAGGACCAGGATGCCAGCCCAGAGGGTTGATGGGATGATGCTGATATCTCTGCTGCTGTTGCTGCTGCTGATGATGATGATGATGAGGATAGTGATGGTGGTGGTGATGGTGGTGATGATGATGATGATGCGGATGCTGGTACTGATGATGATGTTGATGCTGATGATGCGGCTGCTTCTGATGACGAGGATGATGATGCTGATGCTGGCGATGACGACGAGGATGGGGTTGCTAATCGTGATGCTGATGTTGATGTCGATGATGTTGTTGATGATACTGTTGCTGCTGGTGATGCTGGTGATGTTGATGATGATGATGATGATGATGGTGGTGCTGGCGAGGATGATGTTGATGGTGATGATGACGCTGATGATGGACGTGTGATGGTGGGGGTGATGATGATGATTGTGGTGATCGTGATGATGATGCTAATGATGATGATTATGATGATGATGCTGATGTTGATGATGATGATGGTGGTGATGATGATGATGGAAACGATGATGATGACGATGCTGATAATGATAATGATCATTGGTGATTGAGGTGCGATGATGACGATGATCACGGTGGTGGTGGTGATGTTGATGCTGTTGCTGTTCATGGTGATGACGATGATGTTGACGCCGATGACGATGATGACGATAACGGCGATGCTAACGATGTTGATGTGGCTTATGCTGATGAAGACGATGCAGATGAAGATGGTGGTGATGATGTTGATATTGATAATGATGCTGATGATGATGATGATGATGATGATGATGATGGTGAAGACGATGATGCCCATGTCGATGATGATGTTGATGATAGCTGTAGTGGTGGTGCTGCTAATGCTGATGTTGCTGATGATGGTGATGATGATGGTGATGCTGATGATGTATATGATGTTGGTTATGTTGGTGACGATGCTGATGATTGTGATGACGACGACGATGATGATGCTGATGCTGCTGCTGACGAGTCTGATGATGCTGATGTTGCTGACGCTGATGCTCAAGATGATGATGATGACGACGAAGATGATGCTGATGCTGATGCTGATGATGGTGGTGGTGGTGGTGATAGTGATGACGATCATGATGATGATGCTGATGCTGATGCTGATGCTGATGCTGACGATGATGCTGACGATGATGACGATGATGATAACGATGATGATGACGATGATGATGATGATGATGACGATGATGATGAGCACTATGATGATGATCAGTATGATGATGATGATGATGATGACGATGATGATGATGATGGTGATGGTGATGGTGATGGTGATGGTGATGATGAGGATGAGGATGAGGATGAGGATGAGAATGAGGATGAGGATGAGGATGAGGATGAGGATGAGGATGAGGATGAGGATGATGATGATGATGATGATGATGATGATGATGATGATGATGATTATGATGTTGATGATGAGCTGCGCCAGGCACCCTGGAGGCACAAGCGAGCCAGGCTCGCCAGGTGAAGCAGGTGCTCCACGTCTGAGCAATATGTCGGCACCCCCGCCGATCCTTTCAAACACCGATGCAAAGTGGTCGTGCGGCGCCCGCGCACGCTCCAGATGCGGAGGCAAAGTGTATTCTGTATCGTTTTGGGGGCAGGGATGGTTGGCATGCGCGCAGTGACCAATATGACGGCACCCCCGCCGTCCCTGTCAAACATGATTGTAAAGTGTTCGCGGGGCGCCCGCGCTCGCTTCAGATCTACAGGCAAAGTACATGCCGTATTGTCTTCTGGCAGCGATGTTTGGCTTGCGCGCAGCGGGCAGCATGACGGCACCCCCGCCGTCCTCGTCAAAAGCCACAGTTAAGTGGTCGCGGGGCGCACGGGCATGCTCCAGATTTGGAGCCAGATTGCAGTTTGTATCGTTTTCGACAGGGTTGGTGGTGGGGGGAGTGGCATGTCTCGGTTTGGCCCACAGTCGGGTGTGGGAGGGGGTGTATAGTAATAAGGAGCAGTGATCAAGATGCCCTGCCCGCCCGCAAGCTGTCGAGCTCACCCCCACCCGCCCTCCCAACACACAATTCGCACCCGAGCCTTAGCATCTTCAGCGGTCGGTCATAGATGGACAGTTGCCGTAAACCAAGACAGACCACATGAGCGCGACGCTGGAGTAAGGTGCGCCACGCGTGCCTGGCGCGCCACGCGCGCCATGTGCTCCCAGCACACTTGGGGCCCAAGCGTGCCAAGCACGCCTGGCGGGCCAGACGCGCCATGTGCTCCACGTACGCCATGTGTGGCGCATGGTCCAGCCGCGCCAGGTGCGCCACGTTCGGGCAAGTACAGAGTGTGCCAGGTGCGCGTGCGCACGTGGCAGCACACATCGGGAAGCATTTCGGCCAACACCATCCTTGCCGACAGCTTATGCACAATCGCGGCTGGGAGGCCATCGTGGTGTCTGGTGGGCCTGGGCAGCAGGCGATATGTCAGCCCCCCCCGCCGTCGTTGGTAAAACATGGTACTGGAGGAAAACCCCAAGGGCTACGGGGCTATAGGGCTATTGGGCTATAGGGCACCCCCGGGCACCCGGGCGCCCCTGGGCACCCCCGGACCCCCGGGCACCCGGGCACCCGGGCACCCCCGGGCACCCGGACACCCGGGCACCCGGAAAAATCGGCGGCAAACCGAATTCGACCATATGAATCCGCTAGGACCCCTACAGAGACAAGCTCTGATTGGGGAACTATGGACATTGATCGCGGGGTGGCCACGCACGATCCAAATTTAGCCGCGAAGTGCGTTTGAGCGGGATGACGGCCTTGCGCGCAGCAGGCCATATGATACCCCTACCCCCGCCGTCTATGTCAAGAGCACAATGCAAATCCTTCGCGGACCCAGCGAGCATGACCCACGAGTTTGCCCCAACGTGTACCTTATATCGTGTTTCGACAGGGATGGTGGCAGGGGTTGGCATTGTTTCTAGTTGGCTACCTGTCGACTGGGGGAGGGGGGTGTTCATAGGGAGCAATGGTAAACACCTCCCTGAAATGGAAGAGGGAAGTTGTAAGTATTGAGTGTTGGGGATGTGTGAGCGTCTATGTTTGAGTGTGGGCGTGCTCCTTGATTCTGCGCATGAGTAGTTTCGCGTGCTTGGGCAAGGCTGGCAAGGTGGCCGCGCATCTGAATCGTCTGTTCATCCTGGTCCCCTCCTCGTCATCTCCATCCCGTCCCTTTCATCGTGTCCACCCCATCCTCTTTCTCCTTCCTCGCAAGTCCCACCGGATTCGAATGACCCCCAAGCCTGGCAGCAGCTGAAGTCCCTTGTGCTCTCTCGAAGTGTGCGCTGAACTCTTGACGCTTCAAAGATCGCCTGGCGAGTCCTATTCGTCTTCCGCATCCCCCCTCGGTGCGAGTTGCTTTGCTTCCTCTCTTCGGTTCGGCCTGAAGTTTACAGCAAAGCTGAGCGGACTAACACGTAGGAATGTTGTGTTTAAGCATGTGTTAATTTCCCGACCTATCCGCAAGGTTCCTAACTCCAGAACCCCTGCCGTGGCCCTTTTGGTTCCAGAGCGCCGCTGCTGCGAGGCTCGCTCGCGCGTCTCAGAGGCGCCGACCGCCGCCTCCTTGAGTCGGCCGCGCCCCTGCCACCCCGCGCGCGGCAGCCAACACCGCCCTCGCGGCCACGGCGGCCGCCCAGGACGCTGGCGCGGCGCCCGGCCTCTGCCTGCGGCCGCTGGCCGCGAGCGGGCCGCGCGCCGCGGGCAACGCGCCCGCCGCGTCGCCGCCCTGGCGCTGCTGGCCCTCGCCGGGCCTGCGGCGGCCGGCTGCTGCACACCGAGCGTCATGCCACGGGCACCACTGGCCGCAGGCACTGGGCCGCCGGCTGGCCTCGGCACGCGGTGGCCGCGCCTGGCTCGTCCTGGTGCATCACCAGGCTCGTCCTGGCCTCGGCACGCGGTGGCACGCGGCGGCTGGTCCTGGCGGCCTGGTGCATCACCAGGCTCGCGTCGTGTCGTCCGGAGGCGACCCCGCCGCCGGCGTTCAACGTTGAACGCCGCCGGCGACCCAGAATGGTTCGATATTGAACGCTCTGACGTTTCGGCAACGGCCGATCGTTCAGGGTTGAACGATCCCCAGGGTGTCAGGAACCAACGCCCGGGTCGACACGACACGAACATGCCGCACGCGGCCGCTCCCGCCCCGCTGTGCCGCAGCACGCGTGGACGCGCCGCTTCGGCGCGTGCGCCGCCGCGTGCACCGCCGTGTCCGCGGACGCCCGGCTCGCCCCGCCCGCCCTGGACCCCGGGTGCCACGGCGCCGCGGGCGCTGCCTGGCAGGCAGGCGCTGCATGTGGGGACCTGCGGCGCGACCCTGCATTTTGCCGATCGGCGCGCTCCCTCGCACCCCCCGCCCCCCCATGGTGGAGTAGGTCTTGGCTGTTCGGGCGCCTGTTTCGAGCAGGTGGGGTCTCCCCCACAGGACGCACGGGTGCAAACAGTCGCATTAAGCAGAGGTCTGGAGCCAGACCCCCCCCTACTCGAAACGCCGAATAAGGAAATTCAGGAGGGGGACAAAAACACACAGACACAGTTCATCCTCGATTCCCAAGAAAATATGGGAGAACATGGAAAGTGGGGGGGAAGTCGAAAACCCCCAAAATATATGGGGAAATATGGGAATCCTGTTCTTTGTGTGTGTATTTACAGTCGGGGCCCTGAAGAAGGAACCCTTTTCGTTGGGGAGGGGCTCCGCGTTTCTTAAGTGTTTCGCAGCTTGCCTCAGGTGTTCCTTTTGTTTTCGATCGGAAATCGAAACTTAACTTGTGGAAAAACAGGGGCCTCGTTCCTTATTTTGGGTTCCTTAGGTCAAGGCCCCGACTGTAGAGGTGGGGGCCCCTGCTTCCAATACTGAAGCCTTATGCAGCAGCAGCTGGTATTCAAACACGGCCGCATCGTGCAGGCACGGCGGCGGATGACTATTGCTGCTTTGCGCTTTCAGTCGGGCCGCCTCTTGTTGCAATTTGTCTTCTCGGGGCCCCCTTCAAACCTGTTCACTTGCCTGGTGACGAAGCGGCGCGCGCTCGGGGCCCCATTCAAAACATGAGCTCTTCCTCGATTCCCAAGAAAATATGGGAGAACATGGGAAGTGGGGGGGGAAGTCGAAAACCCCAAACATATATGGGGAAATATGGGAATCCTGTTCTTGGTGTGTGTATTTATGTGTGTGTGCCCTGGGGCCCCATTCAAACCTGTTCATTTGCTGGTGACGAAGCGGCGCGCGCTGGGGCCCTGGCGCCTGGCGCGGGCGGCCCGCGCCGGGCTCGGGGCGGCCGCGGGGCGGGCCCCGCGGCAGCGACCGCGGGCAGGGCCGCGCTCCAGGCCCTCGGCGGGCGCGGCGGGCGACGGGCCTCTGCCCGCGGCGCGCGGGGGGGGGCCGTTGGCATCGGCTCGCTGGTCGGAGGAGGAGGATCAGCCACGCGCAGAGGGGGGTAGGGGGAGGGGGGAGGGCTTCTTAGAAGCACCCCTGCTTCTTAGGAGGCGCGGGTCTTATCTATCGATGTAAGGCCGGCGCCTTCTAAGAAGCAGCCTGCTTCTAAGAAGCCCTCCCCCCTCCCCCTACCCCCTTGTGCGCGCCGCCAAGAGAAGGTACCCATACCTCTATACCTCCTCGCCCGTTTCCCCCTTCTTGGGCCTCCTGGGCGGCCCTCGTCGCCACCGCCGGATTCGCCTCGAAATCTTGTGGTCCGGAAGCACCCCGGGGAGAGGTCCAGGGAGTATAGTGGTATCGGTACCGTTTGGCCTCCCCAGCTGGCGGTTGCGAACGCCGCGTGGCGGCGGCGGCTTGCTGCGGGGCGCGGGGCCGGCGGCCTGCTGGCCGCCGCGCGCGCCGCGCGCTCCGGGCGCACCGGGGTGGCGCAGGCCGCGCTTCTCTGGGTGGGCTGGGCGGCCGCGCTGCGCTGGTCGTGGCGTCCCACCTCCTCCTCCTCCTCCTCCTCCTCCTCCTCCTCCTCCTTCTCTGGTGGGGCTGAGCTTGCACTCAGGGGTCCCATCCAAGGAGAGATACGAAAGGTCCTCCTCCTCCTCCTCACGGGGTTCGCTCTCGGAGGGGTTTCTCGTCCCGTGCCGCAGCCGCCGCCTGCGGGCACCGAGATGACGGCGACTCGTGACACGTCCTTGCCTGGGGCAGCGCGGTGGACAGCGGCTCGAACTGCCTGGAGGTGGCCGCCCTCTCCGGCCTCGCCAGGCCGCCGTCGTTGCGGCGCCCGGCAGTACAGGCCTTCGAGCCAATCAATTAAGACAGCGCCGAGGAGCTCCAGGGTTGCTACGAAGAGTTTCTTGCGTACCTTGACGGCGCCCAGGTCAAGTGGATTCGCTTTGACTACCTGCGGCGTGTTGCTGAATCTGGATCCGTCTTGGTGCGCTGCCAGGTGGTGCCTGCTGCCGTGGCCGTCTTCGGCCGCTGGGGATTTCTGGACGACAGACGTGTTTCTAATAACAGGTTCGTCGTGTCGCACCCCTGGCTAGTTCGATGTGGTTCCTGGATCCCATTGGAGCGAGGCTGCAGATGCTGGTGCGACAGTTGAACCTCCTGGGCACACTCGACGATGACACCTTCGTCTTCATCGATTACATGTGTCTTCCCCAGCACACCAGATCAGATCAGATCTGGAGTAATCAGAAGCTGGAGCAGTCAGACAAAGGTTTCAGGGCGGCCCATTCCACCGACAAGGGCGACGCGGCAGTGGTCGCCAAGTTGATCGAACAGATCTTAGCCCGGAACCCGAGGCCGTGACGAGCCCGGGGCTGGCCCGCAAGGAGGGCGGCGCGCCGCCGGCGGCGGACACTGCAAGAGGGGCGCAAGACATCCTGAGTGCCACCCAGCAGCGGAAGGTTCGGAGCAGGGCCCCCAGTAGAACAGCTCGTTCTCGGGCGTTTTCCAAGGCACCCGGCCCTTGCAATGGCGTGAGCGAGCAGCAGCTCGGCATTCAGGTGCGGAAGCGCTGCTCGGTCGCGACGCACTTGCAGCCGTCGCATCCCCCCTCCGGATTCGGGCCGCAGGGTGGTGCTCACCCCGTGGCACGCGCACGCGCTGGCTGATCGCGGCGGTGGCGCCAGTGGTTGAGCTTGTCCGCCCACCGTGGTCGTTTTCCGTGTCTCTATGCGCCCTCGTGCTCCGCCGGAGGCAAGAGTCCTCCTCCTCCATTGATCCCCTCGACTTGCTCCTCCTCCTTCCTTTTACTCCACACGCTGCGTAGGCACGCAGACTCTCAAGCGACAATTCCTTCGAGGTCGAGCCAACTGGGAAAGTCGTTGGCCAGTTTTGTAGTCCGCGGCCGCGTTCTACAGGCGCCACTCTTTTGATAAGCCGTGCCACCTTGTTTCCTGTGTGCGTACCGTGCGTTGCGCACTTTATGACGAGGACGATGGCGACGACGAAGATGACGACGACGATGACAACGGCGTAACAGTGGCCACGATGGTGCTCTCAACAGCATCGATTTCGTTACAGTCTTGGATACGGATTTTTGTACCAAGTGCGACGTCGTCCCATGTGTCAGATCGTACCGACGCATGTTGCCATCCAGACAGGTGTACCATCGCCCCTGCGTGCTGAAGCTGCAGCGAGGTCGATTCCTCATGATGCGGTCTGATGCCTCCCGTGGAGGACCTGCCGCACCCAAAAAGGCCGGATGTCGTGACCAGCACAGTCGTCGGGCTGCCACAGGGCTCGACCTAGGCGGTGTTTTGGTGATCTGCTTGGCCCGTTTTGCCCTCTTCTTGCAGCGAAGGCGGGGCAGGGACGAAGCGAGGGACAACGAACGCAGCACGAGAACGAAAAAACGCTGTCGCGAAAGCAGACCAGAGGAGAGGCTCCCGAGCGCCCGTCGCACGAACAGGAGGTAGAGGAGCGGACCAGGGATTCACTCCTCCCCCTCCTCCCCCTCCTCCTCCTCCTTCTCTTCTTTTCCTCCTCCTCCTCCTCCTCCTCCTCTTCCCCCTCCTCCTCCTCCTCCTCCTCCTCCTCCTCCTCCTCCGTTTCCTCCTCCCCCTTGTCAGGCAAGGGGGGCGTGCAGATGCTCAGGCGTCGCAGGATCGGGCGTCTGGTGGTAGGCCGTGCAGTGGCGGAAGCTGCGCTATCCTTCACCGCAGGTCGAGGCGCAGCCCAGTCCCTCTCCTCCTCGTCCCCCTCTCTCCCCTCGACAACGACGGCAGCACGAAATGGCCGGGCCCCGGGCTGCCAGCTCCCCTCTCCCCGCGCCCCGCTCGCCGCGTGCCGCGCCGCAGCACGGCCGCCGCCCGCGCTGCCCGCGAGGCTGCCGCACGGCCGCGCTGCCCGCGGGGCGAGCGGCGCGGGCGGCGCGGGCGCCATGGGCGCGGCCGCCGTGGCTGCCGGGGCCGCCGCGGCTGTGTTGCAGGCGGCGGCGGCGGAGGCTGAGGCCAGCCGCCTCCTCGGAGGAAAGGGGCCGAGGCACTGTTCGCCACGGATCGGTACAGTGGAGGCTGGCAGTGTCAGCCTGTGGTCAGCAAGAGATGCCCCCCCCAGAGGCTGACAAATGGACCCCGCGAGGCGCGAAGCCATTTTTTCAATCTCGCGCGCCAGGGGGTCATCGCGGGCGCCGCCGAGGGGACCGTGAACGTACCCCGCTGCGCGGCAGCCTCAGAACGACTGTCTTCCGTATGGGAGTTGTATCAAGGATCGTATACAATTGAGGCGAAGTTTCCCCCCTCAGGCTGATCGTTGACACGCCACAGGCGTCGTCGTCGGTCGTCTTGGTCTTTGTCGTGGTCGGCGTCGTCGTCGTGGTCGTCGTCGTCGTGGTCATCGTCGTCGTCGTCGTCGTCCTTGTCGTCGTCGTGTCGTCGTCGTCCTCGTCGCGTCGTCGTCGTCGTGTCGTCGTCGTGTCGTCGTCGTCGTGTCATCGTCGTCGTCGTCCTCGTCGTCGTCGTCGTGTCGTCGTCGTCGTCGTCGGCCCTCGTCCGAAACGGACGTATTCCGTAGTTCAACTCCCCGATTTTTCTTCCCTTTCCTTCTTCTCTCTCAGTCCCTCCCCATTCTCCTTCTTTTCCTTCTCGTCCACTTTGTCTTCCCACCGTACCGTCTTTCTAGTATTATTGATCCTCCTTGAGTTCCTCATCTTTGTTTTCCTCATCGTCCCTTCTTCCCTTCCTTCTTCCCTCTGCCTGCGCCTCCCTCCTCCGCCGTGCCGGCTGTCGTTGTCATTCTCATTTGCTCTCCCTCCTTCCTTGTGGCTATCAGTTTCGTCCGGTTCCTGCTGCTCGTCAGCCTTGTCACTTGTCCTCCTGCCCGTCTTCCTCCCTCTTATCCCCCTACGAATCCCTCTCTTCATGTCACTTCCTGTCCCGATGTTCCGCCTTGTACGCGTCCTCCCTCCTGCCTTCACCCTTCGCCTCCTTTTCCTTCTCCTCTCCCTCCTCTTCCTCCTCATCCTCCTCCACCTCCTCCCTCCTCCTCCTCCTCCTCCTCCTCCTCTTCCTCCTCCTCCTCCTCCTCCTCCTCCTCCTCGCGGCCCGAGGACGTAGACGGGAGTATCTCAAGATGACGACGCGTTTCGTCGCGTGGAAGGGCCACCAGGCGGGGAAACCATGTTCCACAAGTCGCACGACGCCACCAACGCGTTCGGCTGCGGCAGGAAGTTGGACTTAGAGCTGGGAGTTCGTCAACGCCTGGGGGAACAGGAGGAGATGGAGGACCTGGACATTTCGTTCGTGGCGGACCTGTCCCTTCAGCGTCGTCTTGCTCTCACCGTGATCGTGCCAGCCTCTGACGGGGAGATCGCTGTGCAGAGTGGGACGGGCGGCTTCATGGGCGACACATCAGAGCCTGATATTTTCATGCAGAACTACCACGTGGCAGTACAAAAGTGGGCGGAGGTGGACAGACGAGCTACCAACGGGACCATGACGATCCGCCTGCCGCCCTATCCCGTGATCGACGCCTCCATTGGTGCCTTCATGGATGACATTTGCAAGACTCAGCTACTCGAGCACGCCCCGACTTCTCTCGACATAGTGACGGCCTCGCAGCGGAGCGAACTGGGTCTTGATCAGGCCCTGGCTGCTCGTGGGTGCGGCCAGAACCGTGCTAAGCAGGACGTGGTACCGACTTGCCCCTCTCGTCAGCTGGTGCGGGCCGTGATTCGAGATCTCCGTCAAAGCGGATGTCGCAGCGGCTACCAACTCAAGCATCTAGGAGCGTGGTTCAACGCGGTGAACAGCAACGCGAACGAGCTACAGGCGAGGCTGGCCGCAGTGAACAAAGGCTGGATGATGGTGCAAGGCTTCTGGTACTCTTCAGCCCCGTTTCGTGTGAAACGGCTCATGTTCTTATCACTGGTGAGGTGCGCAGCGCTATCTGGAACGGTGGCATTTTGCTGGGCGGACAGGGAAACCCGACAACTTTGCGGAACCCTTGCTCGGAAACTACGCTCCATGATGGGGGGCACAGTGACGACGACGGGGGGCAAGCATGTGAAGACAATGGCGACGCGTGAGGTGTACCGACATTGGAATTTGTTTCCCTGTGCTATCGGAGCGGCTGTTCAACGACTACGATCACGGCAAGCAGTGGCGCGTGCACCGCACAACCACGCCCATCTGGTTTCTATTTTCTGTGGGGGCATGCAGTGGGAGGCGACCTGCGAATATCGCTGCCCGCCCACACTGCGAGCCGACGGCATCCTGAACGACGATGCGGCCATCCATCCTTGGGCACGCCAACTACGCCGATACGTGGAGGTCATGTGCAGCTGCCTCGAAGCGGAGTCCTTCGTGGAAGCGTGGAGGAGTGGCGCGATGCTGGGCCTTCTGTGGAATGAGGAGGTGAACCACCTCTTCACCGCTTTCGATCCGCGGTGCCTGCGCAGTGCCTTTTCTGCAGTACAGTGGGCCCCGCCACCTTCGCTGGCCGACACTGTGCCAGCGTCCCAGGATGATGGTCAGACGTGGGAAAAAAGCAGATGCCGAAGTTTTCACCTGTACTATTCGTTCCCCTCCTGATGGGCAGTCTTGCGGGCAAGTATTTCGGTCGCGCGCTGCACTCATTCCACATGCATGTCAGCCACGACAACCAGGGCATGGGGGACAAATCATATCCAACATACTCACGCCGAGCAACGCATGCATTAACTGCAACACGACATTCCAGGGGGGAGGCGGTCAGACATCTAGCACGATCATGGCACGCAGGAAGATGCATCATGAACAACACAGCGTACCCGTACACATCCAAGCATATGATCACTTACGAGTGCGCGCTGTGCCACATCACGTTTGCCAGGTACGACTCCTTCCGATGCCAATTGCGCGCTCACACTCGCCACCTACGCAGGAGGGCCGCTCCATATCAGTAGTGCAACCGAGACCAGCACCTGCCGAGCCCATATCGCGACCGCGCCGCCGAGCCGCTTCGACGCCAGCACCGACAGCTCGACCCCGCGGAAGTGAACTCCGCACTGCTGCCAGCCTCTTTGTCCCAGCCGCGCCCGTGCATGGAGATCTGGGAGGCAGCCGGCTGGCGCCCCGTCCGACTACAGGGCTCCTGAACACGGTCGCTGAATGGTGGGGGAGACTTGCAGCCAGACGACGAGGAGAAAGAGCCTTCAGGACCGCAAGCAGCTGAAAAAGGGGGCGGGCGGGGCACGGGTCCAGGCTGGCGCAGCAGGCTTCGAAGGAGTCGAGTCGAAGGGGCAGAAGCTGGAAGTGAAGGACGCGGGCCTGCCGAGGGACGTCTCAGGGGGGCAGCGCGCTGCTGCCCGAAGGTCGTCGCGGAGC